GGCTGGGGATTCGAATCCGCCACCTTAGGTGTATGTGGCTGGCGCCTTAGCCGCTTGAGCCACAGGCGCCAAGCCCAAATAATGCATCTCTAATGAAGTAGAATGGATTATTTAATTTGGGGTGGGGGGAAAGAGTGTTTATACATGAGAAATACTGAAAATAGGATAGACTAAGTATTAACGATGCCACAAAAATGTAAGCAAAAATTGTACACATGTTAGTGCAAAAATGCGCACTGCTTTTTATGTGCATCAGGATTTTAGTTGTGATTATTTCTCTTGCAGTTGAATGTCTTGTATTCAAATCACCCACTTCATTAGAAAATAAATGAAATAGGCAGATAACAGAACATTCTGTGACATTATAGACAAAGTTTGGTTAAAATAGGTTATTTCAAAACATTTGCTTGAGTTTGCATTGATTTGGGCTTTTCTAGATTCACTTCAACCCTTCAATCTTCCCTCAACCTTGCCCCCCAGAGTTGTTTAATTTGCCAGGATTTCCTTTAGTAGCTAAAAAATGTGAAGCTATCAAGGAAAACTGTGAAAACTAACTACACCAATGTGCAATTTGCCACTAAGAAACCCTCATTTCATGGTTCAAATTCACAGTTTTAAACTAGAGACAACCTTTGTGGAGGAAAAACACTGCTTATTTTGATTAAAACATCCTCGTTAGCCTGCACTCCTGAATTTTCAGGCACTTGATCACTCTGGGGGATACCAAAGCATCATTTTAACTTCATCTGTCACATTAGGTTAACTGGAGTTAGGCTGCACTTGCCAACTACAGATGGATATACCTAGCCCCATCGCTTCTCGGCCTTTTGGCTAAGATTAAGTGTATACCCAGCTCCACAGAAGTCTACTTCAGTCTAGTCAGGAAAATACCTTGAATGGAATTTTTAGTGAATAGCACTACCCAAAAGTGGTTTGATTTCAAATATGGCTACTAATACCCTTCTATTTTGAGAGTTGTATTTTAAGGGTGACTCTCCAGGGTCAAGAAATATAATTTGCACAAAGGGCAGTGGGACTCAAGTCTACAATTTATTGAAGGAACAATGAACACTTTCATGACAAGAAAGTGCACTTGACTGCTGCAATTAATGGCAACCCACTTTCTTCAGTACAATAAAAGTGTAACTTAAATCTTTATTTAAGTAAGTTTTTGGCTTGCTTTACTTGCCTTGCAATCTTGCATGAAATGATCCATTATTTCTACTATAAAGGTGCTTCATGGGTACTACATTGTAAATCTGAAATAAATTACCCAAAAAAGCTTGGTTTAGGAAGGTTCTGAATTTCCACACTGGCAGAGTACAAAACAAATCAGATATGGGAGTAAGCAAATCAGTGTATTCTCTCTCCTCTCAGTTAGAATAAGGGCGTTTAAAAATTGGGGGAGATAGGTAATATTTCTGATATTTTCTCTAAGAACTCTATTAACTTTATGAAACCATATTGCTATTTAAAGTAAGAGGTAGGAGAATTTCAATATAGAAATCATAAAAGTAAATGTGGTTGAGAAATTTTTCTAACCTCTATTTTATTAATTAAATGGAAGAACTATCAACATAAAACTTTTTTTTTTTAAGTTATCTCACGTTTGGTAGTCTTTTACAGTAACTTCTATTTATCGACACTATAAAGGATGACATACGCAATGCAGGAACTTGCACAGATCCTGGCACTTACCTATGATAAATAAGTATCTCCGTAATGATTCATTTTAGTAGTATTTGGGGATATTGCAAGACTATGTTTTCAGGTTAATTTTCTAAAAGCATAATTTCTGAGTTAAAGGGAGTACACAAATTCTACAGTTTAGAAAAATGTTTTGCTAATTGCTCACAGAGTTAGTTTGTTCTCCCAGTAGAATGCTTTTTTAAGAATTATTTTTTCCTAAAACAAAACCAGTGATAGGAAATATAATTTTTTAAATGTCTGCAGAAAGAGAGGGAACTGTTAAAAGGTCTATTTTAAAATCAAAATATTAAGTATAGTAAAGGCAGAGATAAAAGAAAAAAACATAGTTTTTTTTAAAATTTTCTCCAGCAGTATTTCTGCTATTTTGACTTCTTTTTGACCAAAAGGAAAGTAAAAAGGTAAATCATTTAAGTAAAAATAAATTTCAACAGCTCAGCAAAAACTAACTCACCATAATCAAGTAGATTTCATCCCAAGCATGCAAGGATGGTTCAACATATGCAAATTGATAAATGTGACTCACCACACAAAAACAAAATTACAAAGAAAATACACATCATTATCTTAATAGATACACAGAGAGGATATGATAAAATTCAGCACCCCTTCATGATGAAAACCCTTAACAATCTAGACATAGAAGGAACATACTTCAAAATAATCAAAGCCATATATTATATGACAGGCACATGACCAACATTATACTGAGTGCAGGAATCTTGAAAGCATTCCCCTAAGAACTGGAACAAGACAAAGGTGTTCACTTTCACCTCCTCTCTTCAACATAGCACTGGAAGTCCTAGCCAGACCAATCAGGAAAGAGAAAGAAAAAAGAGACTACAAATAAGAAAAGAAGGAGTCAAATTGTCTTTATTTGCCAATGATATGATCTTATATCCAGAAAACTCTAAAGACTCCTGCAAAATAATGCTATAATGAATAAATAAATTCAGTAAAACCTCAGGTTATAAAATTAGAGTGTACAAATCTGTAACATTTCTATATTAGTAATAGGCAATCTGGAAATCAAATAAAAATCTCAATACCATTTCTGATAGCTGAAAAACAAGATACCTAGGAATACCTTTAACCAAAGAGGTAAAAGATCTCTACAAGGAGAACTATAAACACTAATTATTGATGACAGAAATTATTGATGACACAAATTAAAAAATATCTCATGCTCATCAATTGGAAAATTTTATATTGTTAAAATGTCCACATTGCCCAAAGAGATTTATAAATTCAATGCAACTCCCATCAAAATACCAAGGTCATTTTTCACAGAATTAGACAAAACAATTCTATATTTCATATGGAATCAGAAAAGAGCCCAAATAGCCAAAAAAATTTTAAGCCAAAAAAGAAAAAAAAAAATCTGGAGGCATCACATCACTTGTTCTCATATTATATTCCAAGGGATAGTAACTAAAACAGCATGGCACTGGTATAAAAGTAGACACATCAATCAGGGAACAGAATAGAAATCTGAGAAATAAAACCACACACCAACAACCCACTGATTGTCAACAAAGCAGACAAAAACATATGCTAGGGAAAAGATGCCCTATTTGATACATGGTGCTGGGAAAACTGGGTAGCTACATGAAGAAAAATGAAACTGGTCCTCATATAAAATAATGACTCAAGATGGATATAAGACTTAAATGTGAGACCTGAAGACATAAAAATTCTAGAAAACCACTTCTGGACATTGGTGTAGGCAAAAAAGTTATGACTAAGACCACAAAAGCAACTCCAGCAAAAATAAAAATACTCAAATGGACTTAATTAAACCAAAAATCTCTGCACAGCAAAAGAAATACCCAACAGAGTAAACAGAAAACCCACAGAATGGAAGAAAATATTCGCAACTATACACTGGACAGAGCACCAACATCCAGAATCTATGAGGAACTCAAAAAAATTAGCAAGAAGGAAACAAATAACCACATTAAAGGCTGAGCAAAAGGTATGAAATGACAGTTTTCAAAAGCAGATACACAAAAGGCCCACAAACATATGGAAAAATACTCAGCATCACCAATCATCAGGGAAATGCAAATTCAAATCTAAATGATATTACCACCTTACCCCGTCAGCATGGCCATTATACAATAGTCAACAACTAAAAGACAACTCGTGCCAATGTGGTGAAAAGGGATCACTACCCACTGTAAATTAATACAGCTTCTATGGAAAAAATATGAAGACCTCAAAGAACTAAAAGTAGATCAACCATTCCATCCAGCAATCCCACTACTAAGAACCCAAACAGAAAGAAGTCATTCTATCAGAAAACAAAAGAATCCTGCATGCATATGTTTACTGCAGCACAGTTCACAATGACAAAGATGTGAAACCAACTTCAGTGGCCATCAACTGATGAGTTGATAAAGAAAATTTATATATGTATATTAATACACGTACACCTACACCAGAAAATACTGCTCAGCCATAACAAAGAATTTTCACGACAATTTGGATGGTCAAGGAAGCCATTAACTTAGTGAAGTATCTAAAGATCTCAGGAATGGAAAAACAAATACCATGTACTCACAAGTAGCAGCTAAAGCATTGGTATATAGGGTCACACAGAGCGGTTTAATAAACTGTGGTGCCTGGGAAGGGGGAAGGATCAAAAGTTATCTATTTGATACAATATAAACGATCTGAGTTATGGCCAGACTGAAAACCCTGATTTCACCACTACGTAATTCATTCATGTAACAAAAAACACTTGCTCTCTCTAAATCTATTGAAATTTTTTCAAATTCTGTGATATGCTCTACCACTTTTTAGCTAATCTCTAGGATTAAACGATGGACTTATATGCAACTTACTTTCATGACACATATCACTAACAAAAGCATTTGAGTACTTAAGAAACCCAAAAGTCAGTTGAAATACACATCAAGGCACTTTTTTTCTTTTTGCCTGCTTATTGAAAGATTTGTGAGAAAAAATAGTACATGTGCAGGAACGTGGGAGGAGAGACCACAATGTGAACGTGAGAGGAGAGAGAGACCACAATGCACACAGTGCTGTTGACTTCTCCCTTTAAGGCCTCAGAACCCTCATCATCTCTTCTCATGCTGAGGACCACAGCAGTAAATCCTTAAATCTAGCAGGTACCAGCAGCCCATCAGGGGCAAATAAAGGGCAGCACATCGTAGTCTAACAACACGAGTTACCGACTTTCATCCAAAAATTTTCTTTGTACTCAAATCCAGTTTCCCCTTTGGCAAACATTTGGAGACAAACATTGGGGAGAATGTAACTTTAGCAGTTCCGGAGATGTAACAGCCTTTATTTTGACTTATCAGAATTTCTACAAGAATTTCCTGACTGGGTCATGTTAAAACCAGATCCTATCAATGCCCAGTCAACTTGTGTTCACAGCAGCCTCATGCCAGCTCTAGTTTCTAATCTTTTCCTTACAACTAATCAATTCAATTCTATAAATCTGTCCTTGCAAGGTTTAGATGAGCTAAAAGTTGAGGAAAATTTAAACCTCAGCATTTACTCAATATTTTTCAATCTAGTTTATCAGGATAACTGTTGATATGGTTATGTCAGCAGCCTCTGAGTGGAGGGTTTTCCAGGTTCTTGGTAATGGCTGGGAGAAAAGAATTTCTGGATGCACCCTGTCAAAGAATTAAACAGCAGCTTTTTTAGAGAGAGAGAGAGAGAACATAAGCAGGCTTGCAAAGAGCAGCTATACCAGAAGGAAATGATGTTTCTTCTTTGGAATTCTTACAAATTGAGGGGAGGAATATTCAAGTCTAAGGGATTGAGTTGTAATCTTCTACTTCTACTAAGAAGTTGAGTTGTAATTCCCAGAATGGGTTCCCTCCCATTTTCATGCTTCATATGGTTGTTTCAGAACTGCCATAGTGATTTCAAGGAGAAACTGTAAAGCCACAATGTAAATGATACTATACTTTGCCAAAGTTCACGTAAGGTGGCAAAGTTAGCCAATAAGCTGGTTGGAGCTGGCTATCCTCTGAAGTTATCAGCCCCTCTCGTTAGCTCCTGCCTGATGGTTGTTTGCTTTACACCTGCCCCTGATCCTTAAGCCCCTGATCCTTAAGCCCCTGAATCTGGCCTCAGCCCTGTCTTCTAGTCACCTACTCTAACATACACAAGTGCACACATAAACCCTTAAGTTAATATTTGTTTTATGCCCCGATTACTAATATCAGATATTAATATACTCCTTTCATTTTTGTACTAACCTTTTGTTAATATGAACTCCCTTTGGAGTCATCCATTTTTCATTTTTAAA